CGCCTTACTATACATGGTCGTTTTTTTGGGGCAAAAAACGCCTAACTAGACATGGTCATTTTTCTCGGCTAAAAACGCCTTACTATACATGGTCATTTTTTTCGGCTAAAAACGCCTTACTGTACGTGGTCGTTTTTTCGGCTAAAAACGCCTTACAACACATAGTCGTTTTTTTCGTCTAAAAACGCCTGACTATACATGGTCATTTTTTGGGGCTAAAAATGCCTTACTCTACATGGTCATTTTTTTCGGGTAAAAATTTTGGCTAAAAACGCCTGACTATACATGGTCGTTTTTTTCGGCTAAAAATTTCGGCTAAAACGCCGTACTATACATGGTCGTTTTTCTTGGCTAAAAACGCCTTACCATACATCAGGGGTGTCAAACTCAGGTCCTGGAGGGCCGCTGTCCTACATGTTTTCCAAGTCTCCCTGTTGAAACACACCTGATTCAAATGAATACGTTCAAAATCAGGCTTCCCCAGACCTTGCTGATGATATGATCATTTGAATCAGGTGTGTAGCAACTGGGAGACTTGGAAAACATGCAGGACAGTGGGCCTCCACGACCGGAGTCTTGACACCTGTGCCATACATGGTCGTTTTTTTTCGGCTAAAAAAAATCGCCTTACTATACATGGTCGTTTTTTTGGGGCAAAAAACGCCTAACTAGACATGGTCATTTTTCTCGGCTAAAAACGCCTTACTATACATGGTCATTTTTTTCGGCTAAAAACGCCTTACTGTACGTGGTCGTTTTTTCGGCTAAAAACGCCTTACAACACATAGTCGTTTTTTTCGTCTAAAAACGCCTGACTATACATGGTCATTTTTTGGGGCTAAAAATGCCTTACTCTACATGGTCATTTTTTTCGGGTAAAAATTTCGGCTAAAAACGCCTTACTATACATGGTCGTTTTTTTTCGGCTAAAACGCCGTACTATACATGGTCATTTTTCTTGGCTAAAAACGTCTTACTATACATGGTCGTAATTTTCAATGAAAAAAAATCGCCTTTCTATACATGATCGTTTTTTTTTTTTTTTTGCTAAAAATACCTTATTGTACATGGTCGTTTTTTTTTTTTGGTTAAAAACGCCTCACTATACATGGTGGGTTTTTTTCGATTAAAGAAATCGCCTTACTATACATGGTCTTTTTTTTCGGCCAAAAAACGCCTTAGTATACATGGTCATTTTTTTCGGTCAAAAACGCCTTACTATTCATGATTGTTTTTTTAGGTCAAAAACACCTTACTATACATGGTCTTTTTTTTCGGCCCAAAACGCTTTCCTATACATGCTCGTTTTTTTCATTCCAAAACGCTTTAGTATACATGGTCGTTTTTTTTTTTTGGCCAAAACCGCCTCATCATACATGGTCGTTTTTTTCAGCCCAAAACGCCTTACTATACATGGTTGTTTTTTTTGGCCCAAAACGCCTTCCTATACATGGTCGTTTTTTGGGGGGGATAAAAATGCCTTCCGATACATGGTCGTTTTTTCGGCCAAAAGCGCCTTTCTAAACATGGTTGTTTCTTTCGGCCACAAACGCCTTGCCATGGTAAGTGGTGTAAAAATGATAAGTGTTGTGTTTCATTGTGTGATCAACCACAAATTCAAATTTTGAAGTGCATTTTACATACATAAATAAGCTCTTTATTTACAGGTGAAAACACAGTCCAATCGTAAAAATATTAGTTTGTTGGCATGTACAAAATGATTTTCCTGAATGGATGCACATCAAAGATAAAACCCTTTGCTCCCGGTAGTTAAATGCTCCTCTTTGTTTGCATAGCAACGCGTCGTATTCAAAATGGAGCAGTCCACATTTTGACAAACCGTTTTAATTGAGCTGACAAGCTCCCTTTTTAAATGAAGACATTAAAGTCTGCGCTCCGGCGTCCTCAGTTGAAGTTGAATTTGAAGTGGAAGGGTCCTGATCCGAACGGGTTGAAGCCTTGAAAGGTGTGGAATTTATGGCCGCCCCCCCTGTGGTGACCCTGTTGACTCTCGGGGTCCATGGGGTCTTCGCCGTGGTCGAACTTGGTTCTCATTTCTGGGAGACATGGACAGAAACACACAATTATAATTATTCTCCCTTCGTCTACATCTAAAATAAAAACTACATTTTGCAATGTCTTTCACATCATCATCTCCAAACTATAAGAGTATTGATTAGGGAAGGGCGAGTAATTAGGGAAGGGCGAGTACCGATACCAGGTACTCGCCCGATACTATCGTTCATAGCTATGCCATTCTTACCCGGGTCGGTTAGGACCTCCTTGGCCTGAGCAATGTCGATGAACTTCTTCTCAGCTGCCTTCTTTTCTTCTGGGTCCTGGAAGTTGTCCGGGTGCCACTGTTGGGCCAGTTTTCTGTACGCTTTGATGATCTCCTTCTTCTGGGCCGTCCTGTTGCGTAACATAAGAACAACCTCGATGACGTCACACTGTAGTTGTTAACATGTTGATTTGGTGACAAATATTTGCACGTTTGTACCTCTTGACGCCCAAGATCTTGTAGTAGTCTCGCTTCTGAGACTGCTTGAGGAGGCGCTGTGCTTTCTCCAGACCTTCTTTGATCTGACGGTCATTCTCGCTGTGTTCGGAAGCACTTTCGTAATCTCTAATGGCTGCAACGCACAAGAGAAAAAAAAAAGGTTTGGGGGGGGATTAAATCTTCATTACATGCAGTTTTTTTAATTAGTTACCTGGCAAATAATATATATTTGTAGTTCATTTCAGGGCAAAGAAAAAATATTTTCTATCAAGTTCTAGAAAAGTCATGGAAAAATTTCGTGGATAACATTCAGGAAGAATGAAACAATAAAAGTAAAAGTAAAATGCAATTGACGCAACTGATACAGAAGCGGTCATGTGACAGCACAAAGCAAACAAGCGGAGCGTTCCCCGGCACGCTCAACCGGTCCCTCCCTTCCGTTCAATGTGGCTTTTGAAAGCAGCGCTAGGTCTACAGGTTGCGGGTGAATGAAGCTCGTTTTTTTCAGATGTCGCTCGACAGTCACATTGCTAAGTGATTTGAATGTGGTGGGGGTGGGGGGGGGGGAGTAATTTTTTTATTAATGGTCTTGATACAACCAGAAAACCCTTTTTTTGTCTCCTATTTCTCTTCCTCTCTGTTATGGAGAGCGATCAGATGGTTCATCTCTTGTTGCTACTCAGAACTATGCAAGCATTGCTTCTGTAGCAATCAAAACATTGACAGTGTATCACGATGTTATCTAGTTGTCAAGACTGCAATGTTTCAAATGATGACCAAGATGATGCCTGTGTGTTTTTCTATGTGTGACTGAAAAATTTCCAGTGGCTTGGCTCCAATCTTGGAAATCAAGTGAGAGGTTATGCAAGTGCAAGTCTTATGCCTTTGTGACACTACAGCTACACTGCAAAAAAATATTTCCACTTAATGATCTGTGAATATTTTCTCGATTACAACATTAGCCATCACTTCAAGCTCATGTTGCAGCTGCTCCAGGCGGTTTGAGTCCGTTTATCCAGTAAGGTGCACTCAAAGGTGAATTTAGCGGCCTTGGGCTATGACACTTTAAAAGCCACCATGACCGCATCCGAGCGCTCCCACTGTGTTCATTGTGCATTTTAGCTGAGTGACAAGAGTTGGAAGAGACGGTCGAAGAGGTTGTTGGGTCTGCCTGCAGGGATGCAGCGATTAAACCTGTTTAGCGGACACGGCCGGGTGGGGTTTCGCACTACAGTACGCAGTTGTCCATAATGTTTGAGTGGCGCATTCAAGTGACAGTTTTAGACAAACAGCAGCCGAGGACGTGTTGTCTGGCAAAGAGAACGCAAGGTGTCAGGTGGGACGTGGGATTATTCACCATCTACCCTCATTGGATGTTGGGACACTTATGGGACACTTGGTGCTTATCAGATTCACTGGCTTGATAAACAAAAATGTCCTGCATATTGTGGGCTAGCATTAAAACTAGTAGACTTGCCATTCATCGTGTTTTAATGTTTTAAGTTTTAGCTAATTATGTGAAAGTGAGCCTCTTTAGCACAGCAACAAAATGTAAGTAATGTTACGGGGGGGGAAACACATTGTTCAAAGAATGAGGTCTTATTGTTTCAATTTAAAAAAAAAAGGAACTGAACAAGAAAACATTATGCTTGCCCAAAATGATTTGAAAAGACAAAAAAATGTGTTTGATTGTTCAAGGATAACAGGTAGCCTTAGTTTGTCGAAAAAGTTGTAAAAAGTTGTAAAAGCGAGAGTCAAAAATAGTTTGCACATCATACTGGCAATACTATGCTCTACTCTCAAAAGTATTTTTTGTAACATGGCTTAATTTTTATCAACTCACTTCCACAATATTTCAACTTCATTCTTATAAAGTACTACTTTTTTCACAGTACTATAAATCCTGTGTGTCCACTTGCTTTTATTTATAAGCAGCTAAAAAAGACAGTGGAATACGACTACAACTAATAATAATAATAATAATCTAGCATTTACACACCCTTGAGGTAGCTGTTTTTATTGATGGTGGAGCTAGTAGGGCCCCTTGTGGTACACCCCTGTCATGAGACTGTCTCGTTTCGCAGCGCATGTTTGGTGGTCAGAAGAACATTTGACCTTGTTAGCGAAATGTAAATCTCTGATTTTTGTTTTTTAACTGACAAGCAACAAAATAAAAATCACAGTGATACTGAACATGAGATGCTTGCATCCATTATTGCTCTTCTTTCTAAATTAATGAGGCATAGAAAGCCAAACCAAAACTTGCCATTTCGTAAAGTGTGTGAAAAAGTAGTGGTGGTTAAAGGAAAAAAATGTGGGAAGTACTGTTTTTTTTTTCCTTCCAAGGGGAAATGCCGCTAAAAGGAGAAAACTGTTGGAGGAAAATTGTGTACTTTTTTTCCCCAAGAATAAAATCAACATTGTGATTACAAAAGAAGAGTACCATGATGAAAAAATGTGGACTATTGCAAGAAAAATATCAAAATATTCAGAGTAAAAGTGAAATATAAAGAAAAAAAGTTGTTGGATTTTCAGTTTAGTCCTTGTCAGTCAGGGGTCATCACAGTGATTAATTTAATGTAAAAAAAAATACTAAAATCTGCTTGAAAAAGGAATCGTTACAAAGATAGTCATGTTCAAGCTTCACATGAGACGTCAACAGCGTATACGTACCATTACATATGATAGGATATCATGTGACACTGCTTACCTTCCTCATACTGTTCATTTTGAATGTAGGCCTCGGCTCTGTCCTTCAACACGTTGACGTTGTGCGGGTCCAACTGGAGAACTTCGCCGCACACTTTGATGGCTCTGGCGGGCTGCTGCTGGCCCTGTGAGAGCCAACCAGCTACCTTCAATACGCGTTCAAAGAAGCGTCAAATGGCGGCAGGGCATGGTGGTCTTACATGTGTCAACGCATGACAGATGCGCTCCTTCGCCATGATTGTGAAATGAGCCACGTTGGGCTCCGTCTTCATCACTGCCTCGAATTTACTCACGGCGTCCTCGTACCTGAAAGGTCATTGCCAAAGGATGAGATAAACTTATTCAAGGGTGATGTAATGCACCAATTCTCAAACCACTCGCGGTACGTGGGCTCCCACTTGTGGTCAGCACACAATCATGTTACAGGAACTTTGTTTTTGTCTTTTGTTTTTCAATCAAGTACAGTAAATTTGTGAATTACAGTTCAGTTGTATTTAACTTACAATACAGTCCCAATCTTTTAATATGGTCTTTTTTCACAGTTATACTTTTTTTGTTGACTTGTTTCATGCATTTAAATTGCTTTTTGGGGGTCGGGACAGTCGTATTGGCATACAATAAAAACCTCCACCTTGTGTTTGAAGACCATTTGGGACTACTCGGGACACTTCTGCATTTTAATGCTGGTCATCATGGTGCTACTCGATGTTAACAGTACAAGAACTACTAATGTAATGCATCGCGTTTTATAGGCCACACGCACGCACACACCTCTGCTCTTGGATGAGTTCCTCAGCAGACTGGATCTGTTTGTTGAGCTTTTTGACCTGCTTGTAGTGACTGAAGCACTGCTTGTGATCGGGGTCCAGTTTTAGGCACTCGCGCACCTCACTGCACATCCCACCAGAGGAGAAAGGAAGTAAAAAGGTGCAGAAAATGTCAGCTATGAATACATGAAGGAAACCACTTTGGGGAAAAAAAAAGCCATATTCAACAATTGTACTGGTATACTGGACAGTGTTCCATAGTCACCGATTTTCCTTTTACGGTAGTTCAAAATGATCACCGCAATCATCATAACACACTTGCAGAAATGTCAAACAGAGCAACAAATTCAAAGTTCTGAGTCGGGTATTTGAATGAGAAACTTCAACGTGTGCAGTTATATTAAAAAAAAAAAAAAAAAAAAAAAACGTTTCAAGGTCGTACCACATGAAATTGCGAAAACCAAACTGCATTGAATGCATCGGTGAGAAACAGACAGGCTGACAATCAATAAAAGGGGAGAACAAAAGGTCTCTGTTTTTACTTGAACAGCTTGGCCGCAATATTATAGAGTGCTATTTTTCTTAGGAAAAAAAACAAAACAAAAACAAAAAAAAACAGAAGGTTGAAGTTATAAGCATGGTAACGGAACAAATTACACTTGTACCTCAAAGCACCACTGTGCTTCATTGTAGCAATGGAAAAGGCTCACATTTCAGAAGCAGAATCAATTTCTACGGAAGACTGGACTGTAAAGTGCTTCCCTACAGATCATATATTGAGACGGCGTCATTTTATTCTTACTTGAGCGACATCTCGTGGTCTCCCAGATTGTAGTAGATGGTGCTGAGCTGGTAGAAGGCGTGCGTGTTGTCGTTCCTCAACTTGGACGAGACCTTCAGGTCACTGATGGCCTTTCCCATCTCGCCCATCTGAATGAAGCACTCGGCGCGCATCTCGCGGGAGTTCACGTCCCAAACGCAAGTCTGTAACAACATAAGACGCGCGTGACTCAAGCTGAGGATGAAGGTGACAGAGCAGTCGAGTTGAAGTGTCCTGCCTCTATGATGGTGTCCAGCAGGGCGGTGGCCGTCGCATAGTCTTGAATGTCGTAGCTGCGTTTCGCTTCAGCCACCAGACGTTGGATCTCGTCAGATTTCGACAGCTGATTCTGGGCCTCCGTTGCCTCCTTCTCACTGGGGTGGACCTTCAACTGAAACATCACACACATGAAATCAATTCGACTGGATTTACCCGGCGTTCAAGTGACACAATTCAGATTTCTTGCTTTGTCAAGGTGCTCGCTTGAATCCCACCCTGTGTGGCCGCACATACTGCGCATGCCAGGAAATGTTTTTACATAAAATTGAAATAGTTTGAAGGCTCTGCGTTATGCTTCAGTTGAGTCACACAACTGGCAATCTAACTGCAGTGCGACACTGACACCTTCAGGTCAAACCAAATTTTGGTCAATGTTGCCACATGGTCCGCTCACCACTTTCCGGAAGTCACTCTCCGCTTCGTCCAGCTTGCCTTGCTTCAAAAGGAGGTTTCCCCTCTGAAGACGTGCCTGATTAGGGTTAGAAAACCGATTTGTTACATCCCATAAGTTGAATGAAGATGTACATCGTAGCCACGTAAAGGATTAAAACCAAAAGTTGTGTTTTGTTTTTCTTTGGCTTTTTCCAACTTCAAACTCAGGTCATTTTGAGTCCCGATTTAAAAGGAGGGTTAATAAAGCTGTTATGGTGGCAACAGTTGGGACTGACTATCTCTATTATTTCCTATTTGAAAATGTGACACTCACAGATGTGAAGTCCGGTTTGAGTTCGATGACTCTGCTCAAATCCGGCAGCGCCGACTTGGACTTGCCCATGGCCAGATACACCGTGGCTCTCCTGTAATAGGCCAAGTAGTTCTTGGGATCTCCATCTGACCAGAAGAAGAAGGTTTATTTACATGGCAATGCATAGGCAACGAGATGGCACCTTTAGGCCACTTACCCACGGCGGCATGGAAGTGAGACAGAGCGTCGGCTAGCTGTCCTGCTGCGAGCAGCTTCTTGCCCATCTCCATGTGATGGTCCACGCTCCCTTCCCTGCCACACTTTACTCCTGCCAAAACATACACAAATTAGGATGCTCAAACTAGGCACGCAGATTAAATCAGAGGTGTCCATTACGTTGAATGCAGTCTACTGTGCTGCTCAATCGCGTAGGTAGAGTGAATAGAAAAAAAATAGAAAGAAAACAAAAGAAAAAAAATAATGACATGGCAGTAAACCAACCAATCTAACATTGTTTATGACGCATGGGTTCAAAATTCAAGGAAGGTACGGAGTTGCCCTGTCAGTTAGCCTATTTATTGCTACTAAACTTGCATTGGGCTTTGGTATAAAAATTAGTGGGGGAGCTAGGCCAAGTGAAAGCCAAAGTGTGTTTGCTTCATCTGCAAGTCTAGCACTGCCATTCCAAAGAAGGGATATGTGGAGTGGAGTGGAATTTTCTGAGCGCTCTTAAAAGCTATGACACTGACTTCTCGACCAAGAAGCGAGCTGAGAAAGAGAAAGATGCGATGACTAATATCCCAGCTGTCTTATCAAAAACAGTCACACTTGTGCTACCATTTTCAGGAGGACACTGATGTACAAACAGACAAATAAATAAACTACAACACTGCTTGTACTGGACTCATCGAGAGTGGAGGATGAGGGGTTGACAGTGCCAATGTCATTGAGCTCAAATCCAGGGCTCATGGGCACTTGTGGGATTTACAGAGGAAAAAAAAACGGTGCCACCTCCTGGGCTGCTACTTTATCAGGCTCCAGACTGCTTATTGTCTGCCGTGTCCCACATGAAGATTAATGAGCCAGTTAACATACATCTTTGACATATGTAGTTGCCAATAGCAGTAAATGAGTTAAACCCAGATATCGTTCCAAATTGACTGATGATCATTTTGAGATTGGCTATCAGCAGCTGCTGTCTGGACAATACATCACTAGTTGAATCCATTCAGTGCTAGTCGTCAGTCATGGAATGACAAAAAATATACAGTAAGATTATGCATCATGAGTTCAAGCGGTCATGCGAAGTTCACCAACTTCGACTGTGCATATTAAGATGATTCTATACTTGCATTTTTGAGCGTAGTTGCAAGGTTTCACTTATTAATGTTGTGAGTAGCTCGCAAGTCGAAAATGAGCCGTCACCCCTGATTTAATTCGACATAACTGTAAAAAAAAAAAGTTTACTTTTCATTGGGCTGTACTGATTTGTGTTGACCACATACGTCTATCGCTTTTTGTCGCGAGTCACTTCAAACATAACACAAATGGGTGGTTTAGGTCCATAAAACGCAACAAAGGACACAAGAAAGTCGGTTTACAAGTGTCAACGGGGCCACTAATGTATGGGGGAGAAAGTGGGAAACTGCTGGCTAGCCTGCTAATGTATTGACTTTGAAAGGCAAAGCTGACTTTAGCACAGTTATCGATTTAGCTAACGCTCATTCGTAGTGAAAGGGAATGACCAAAAAGCAGACATATAGTGTCGTAAAACACAGCATGAACTATTTCCACGTTACGACTGTATGACTTACCTTCGTATCGCATGTCAATCAAAACGAGAACATATGGCAAGAAAGTTAGGATCTTGTGAGCCACGTGCTCCATGGAAACCATGGTTAAATGACACTCGAGTTTCTCTCGGTGACAGTGGCGAGATGACAAGTGTCCAAAAGCGGCGTTATTAGTTATGTGTTGGGGAGTAATGTCCAAACCAGTCCCATGTGTTGACAGCTTTGAAGCGATGAGCTGTAGGGAAGCTCTTCTCCTTCCTAGTCTCCTTCACTGGCTGCCACACACAACTCAGCGGACCGGTCGTGGGTCACTATGATTGGCTGCCCGCTTGAGCGAGACCACGCCCATTCCAAGAGGTTCAACTCGGTGCAGCCACGGAAGCATTCGGCGTGGGTGCGTGGATACACCCTTAAAATTCACTTTCTGTTTGTTCATTTTCCCATTTTTATAATTTTTTATATTCCCATTTTAAAAAATGAAATAAATTTAGTTTTAATATATCGAGCCATTTTAAATTCAGAGGCTATCCTATACTCACTTGGGGTCAAGTTGATAAATTTGGTGGCCTTCCATAACCCAAAAAAATAAAATGGCGTTTCACTTTGATAGCTTTCAAGTGAGACCCATTTTTAAAACTTCGATTGGCAAAAATTGGAATAAATTACGTTCAACGTGTGCATCATTTGCATTTTCAATGTGGAGGAGGTGTGCTTGTTTACAGTCAAAATGGCTATGTAGGACATTTCAAAACAAATGTATTCCAATTTCTGCCATTCGGATTTTTCATGATGGGTCTCATTTAAAAGATGGAGAAGTGTAAAATGTGAAACAGGTGAGAAAGTCAAAAACATTTGAATTTTGTGGGAATGGAAGAATGTTAAAATCAGTGGGTTTTCTTTCTTTTCAAATGGAGTTTCATTGCTACTTATATGGGCGAGAAAGCACAATTGCATTGTTTAAAGGTGAAGTTGTTGATTTTGGTGACATCTCATTGCCACTAAAACAAAATGCCGTTGAGTTTGTTGAGTTATGTTGTTACAGTACATAGGAGTTAGCTGATCTTTTTTTCTGGCTAGGAAATGTTTCAGCTATCAACTGTCCCCCGTATGAGCTGGAATGAGAGAAGCAAGCTGTTTTGTCATGTTGATGTGTTAATATTCAAGCAAAGCTGCAACTGACAGGCTAACTAGCTGGATTGCTATTAAAATTACAATTCCTATTATGACACAGAGAGAACGAGGAGCAAAGTTTGGATTTTATAGACCGTATTACTGTAGTAATCAAAGTAATCACCAAAGTCAATTTATGTGAATAGGTTTTACATGTTGTGCATTGTAGTTCATATAAAAAGCCCCAAAATTCAATTTGGGGAATGCAAAAATAACTGGCGTCCTCATTTAATATGAACTCAGACGTATGCATTTGTTGTAGATGTTCTGGTGCTGCTGGTCACTGCAGACACGCTGCTGCCGCTGGCTCTACTACTACTACTTCTACTACCACTACTACGACGACTACCGCTCCCACCGATACTGCTCGTCGTACGGCTACTTGGCGTTTTCTTGCTCTCACTCACATCTGAGAGAGCCACCTTCTTCTTTGTGGGCGCAGACATGTAGGGATCAGGAAACATGTAGGCGGGGTCCGCTTTGTAACTGAAATGAAATTCATGGATTTAAAAAAAAAATTTTAATGTTGCTTTTAGCACAGAGAAGTTCAATGTTAGTACCTTGATTGGCAGCCTTCCCTCCCCGCAAAGATACTGTAAAGAAGACCTCCAACCACCAGTAAAGTTGAGCCTCCCCAGCCGATAAACACGCCAACGCCAATTTCAAACCTAAGTAATCAAAGCAAGTCATGTCAAAACCAAAAGGTAAGCAAAGCTGCAGCGTTAGTATAGATTATCATCTGATGACCACCTCAATGTTGGTCGCTCGAGGGGTCGGAAAAGTAACTAATTATAGCCACAAAAGTAGTGAAGTTGGCAACAATGATTTGTCGCTCGCTTTGTCATGTGCTCCAGGTCTACCTGCGGTCGTCTCGGTAACGAAAGCAGTCCTTATTTGCATTAGACAAAATTGTGTGATATCAACCGAAGTGTGACAAGTGAATATTAAATGTGTAGGTCTTTATCCTGAGTGAATTTTGATGGTAGAATGTCAGAGGCTTTTTTTAAACACCGATGAACTGCTTTAAATTGTGAAGAAAAAAAAATAGTACATCTCCTTGAATTATCCTGAAAAATGTCCTTACTTTTGTTCTCTGTAATTAGGATCCTGGAATTCTGCTCTTATTTTGTTGCCGTAATAGGAGAAAGCAGTCATAGAACACAACCCTGAAACAAGAAGACACCGAGTAAAATATACATCGAACAGCCAAAATATTAGGCACATCTGCAAAATGCTAATCATATCCAATACAAGAGATGTATCAGACAGATATCGATGTGAGACAAGACAGCTTTATTTATATAGGGCACACGGTATCCCAATGTGCTTCACAAAAAAAAAAAAAAAAACAAATTTAAAAGCATTTACAAGCAAAATAATTTCAGGCATTTAAAACTTTATTGTTGTGGGCGTAGTTTGTGGGCATGTGGAAATGCACTGCTTCGTGCCAGGTTATTTGAGCACTTTAAAAAAGAAACGCCACACCTCAAATGAATATTATTCTTCCCCTCCAGAAAAATAGATGACTTCATTTACTTTAACGATGACGAACACAACCGTGTGTCCTAGTACACGTAGTCCCTGCAGCCGAGGTCATATAAAGCATGTAAAAACCCAGTCACATGAAGCCATGCATACATGTCATTAGATTGCGCAGCCTCCCGAATGAACTGCCTGCAGCAAGGTGAGTCTTACCAGCAAAAAGGTAATTCATCCCCCCAGCAAAAGTCACTCTTGCCTTGGCCAACTCCGAGCCACCGACCTTGGTGCATTTCATTCCCACCATGACCAGGACCGAGCCGAAGAACGCCAGGATGATGGCGGTGATGATGAGGGCGCGGCACATGTGAATGTCCCCTGCAAAGAAGAATTTCCGCACACAAAACAAGTGGAACGCAGTGGTGAGTTCACAATAAAGGGCAAAGTGGTGCAGTGCCCTACCACAAACAGCAGATGGATCAATTGCAAAAATGATAAACCTGTCGAGCCCAAGCCTAAGTTTATATCGCCCTGAGTTACTTTTGAGACGTAGGTGTATCCTGTCAAACTTGTGAGTAGGCCCCAAATATTCTACGACCTGTATGAAAATATGAAAAATACGACAAATAAGACTCCAATCAAATTTAAGACCACACAAACATAAATACACAAATATATATACGAGATAAGAAAACCTTATTTGTCTCACAATTGAGAAATTCCCAATTTACAGCAGCAAAATTATGAAACTAAGAAGTACAAGAACAAAAGGTAAATAAATAAATATTAATTGTATAAGTATATAAAAAATGTATATTTATATATATGTAAATCAAAACGACTATATATCTAAATATGTAAAATGACATATATATATATACAAATTACAAAATCTAAATATAAGCATACAGTATATATATATATATATATATATATATAAACTGTAAAACCAAAGGCAATGTGGATATATATATATACACACACACACACACACACACACACACACACTCCCAAAAAATACTTTTTTTTTTTTGAGTGCCCTAACTCAGAAGAAATATAGCAACAAAACCTGAGAAGTCACAAATGAAAACTCACGAAGACTGTAGCTGCAATAACAGATCCGTGTAGTAGCGAAGGAACACTGTATTGATGCAGTACGATGTATAATTGTTTACATTTTTCATGATTTTAATATTAACCCTTTCGGGGACAGCAGTTACTACAGTGGACAGCTTATCATGTTATCAGGTTACAGGGTGCACGAAAGGGTCAACGTAGGATTTTCACATTTCTGCCCAAAAACACCAGCGTCATCGTCACACAGTAGATTGACACGGTATACGACTTACAGTTGAGTGCGAGCAAGGACGGGATGCCCTTGCAGTCGGACACGCCAGTGGAATCGGACACACAGTCCTTCCACAAGTTGGAGAAGTAGTTAGAAGTGGTCAGGACAATGCTGCCCACCTCAGACCAGGTCCAGATCTCCGTCGGCATGGTGGAGCACACCAAGATCCATCCAGACACGCAAACCACGAAGCAGCCGATCTCCATGTACATCACCACCGTCCTGTAACCCATCTTTGGTTTGAAATGAACAATAACAGGAAGACTTTCCGGTGTTAGAGCTTTCCAAGGTAGCACGGGTGTTCGTGTACGCCCTCATAATGATGATGATGATGATGTGAAGGCTGTTTGTGTACGCCACCCATGTTTAGTGAGGGTCACAGTGATGTGTTTGTTGTTAGTAGGAAATCAAAACGCTTGCCAGCATGGCTCCGGTTAGGCGCGTTGACTTTTTGTTGGTGTTGTCATGAAGAAAAAAACTATATCTGACAAAATCCAATGAGAGACTTATCGTTGCCATGCAATGGCTTGGGAATTGTAGGGCCACCTCTTTCACATTGTGCTCTCTCTTTCAATTGATGGAACAGTACTGTACTCCAAATATTTGCAGAAACTAACTTTTTCTACACCCCACCCCCCCCCACCCCACCCTTTTTGCGAAATTCATAAATATCCAAAAGCAAATCATACAACAACTCAGGCAGGTATCGAAAGTCACCACAAGAATTACCATCATCTTATCTATAATGTATCACATTCAATTAATTAAATAAACCGGTAATTATGAAATGTTCAAACTTATAGTTGTTTTTTTTTTTTTAACTTGAGCAGGCCTACTGCTAAAATGAAAACGAAAGGTACATTCAAATTGTATTGTGAGAGTCTATTCATCTGTTACTGCAGACTTCACGATAGTCTGTTAGAAGGTACAATTTGATCATTACATTGTAAATGTATAGTGCCGCCAAAAAGTCTACACAGTATTGTCATGAAACAGAAAACATTTGAATAATTAGTCAGTGCATTAACATAATTACAAGGAAAAAAAACATACCGGTAACTAAATTAGTTCAATAATTCTTTTTCTTTTTTTCCCCTTATGACCTTTTTTTCAGTATTTTCCACATGGTTTGAATTGAAAAAAAGAGCTCTGTTAAACACACACACACACACACACACACACACACACACACACACACACACACACACACACACACACACGCAAACTAAATGAGTATAAATGTGTACACAGCTCATGAAGGCATAAACATTACATGACGTTCAGAATCTGATGACAAATAATTCTTTTATATTGTCAAGTGAAGGGTAAACAAGAATGCATTTTTTTTTCGAACAATGTTCGATTATTTCACCGACAGCAGAAAATAGAGACACACATGGGTACAGTAGGCTATGTATTGTCCAAAAAGTGTTGTGATGTGTGGTCATTTTGATATTCATTTGTTACCATTTCTATAATGCAGAAGAGTATGAAGGCAAGTTGGAGAATCACGACAATAAAGTCGTAACAAAGAAAAAAAAAAGTTAATTAAGTCGGATTTTTTTTTTCCCAACAGAAAAAGGGTGTGGTCTCCGAGAAGTCATGGCGCTCTGAAAATCACCTTGTTCAAAAAGGTTAAATGTATACATCTAAAGTAAAGAAAAAAAAACAATCACAAAAACATTGCATTGTTATTTTGGTTTTTACAATGATGTCAAATTGTGAGAAAGTTATAACTTGGTGAGGAAAAAAAAATTAAATTATGAGAAAAGTTGTACATCTCTGAGCTGAGGGAAAAATCCGAACATAGATGATTTTTTTTTTTCCCAACAGAAAAGGGTGTGGTCTCTGAGAAGTCGTGGCGCTCTGAAAATCACCTTGTTAAAAATGTTAAATGTATACATCTAAAGTAAAGAAAAAAAAAACAATCACAAAAAACATTGCATTGTTATTTTAGTTTTTACAATGATGTCAAATTGTGAGAAAGTTCTAACTTCGTGAGGAAAAAAAAATTAAATTATGAGAAAAGTTGTACATCTCTGAGCTGAGGGAAAAATCCGAACATAGATAAGAATTAGGTCTCGATTTTAAGAGGAAAAAAAACATGTCTTGATTGAAGTTCACAAGGCTGTAATGAAGAGATGAAACAAATTGTTGTGTATATCATGTATTGAATTATATGTTTGGATCAACAAAAGTGTTACACCAGTTCCAATAATAAAGTCGAAATCATGAGAATAAAAGGCGCAATTGACATGAACCTTTTCGTGCACCCTGTAACCTGATAACATGATAAGCTGTCCACTGTAGTAACCGCTGTCCCTGAAAAGGGTTAAAAACAGTTTGAGGGGAAAACATATGATCATAAAAATATGTACAGGTACTTTAAGTCATTTTTGGGGAAAAATATATTATGATCTTCCAGTTCATGCAATTTGTGGACGTTGACCAGTCAACCAAAAGTGTTGTTAGTGTTGTTCTTGTAACAAATTTGCAATAGTTGTTTAAAATTCTTTCCTTGATTAAATTTACAATGTTGCATTCATGTTTGGATGGGAATTTCTATTTCATTCAATAAAATATTTTGTTTCTTTGTAGATATTTTTTTTTTGTCCTGACATGACAACCCCCCGCACCCCCACAACATACAACTTGTCTTTCACCGTGGCCTTATCACTCCTTCATACACAAAGCACTTGCGAGGAAACCATTTACCGACACTAGACAAATGCGTCCCTTTCAGAAAACCTCTCTGGTGTTGTCGCAGAGAGTTTGGATATTTTGGAGCTGCCGGATCTTCCTGAGCCGTAGTAAGTTCCGTACAGTCTGTTGGGTCTGTAGTAGCCTCCGGTGTACATGCTTCTTCCTCGCAAGCGAGGATCCATGTATGTGCCTCCTCCGTAGGCATAGATCACTTGACTGCGCAGGGAACAAACATCCATCCAAAGCTATTACTTTCTTAATTACTGATTTAAAAAAAAAAAAGTGATATAATTTTGGTATACCTTTTGGGTATGAGTACTCTGAACACTGTGGCTGCATAAAAGAGAGCTCCTAAAATGATGAAAAAACTTCCAACCAATCCGAGAAATATGGGAGGGCCTAAGTCGTACCTAGAGTTACATAAGAGATGTAACGAACAATGAAAGGCAAATACCCCGTTGTGATGAGAAATTTTGATTTTTGTCGGCAGTAACTCCAAAAACTATCTTTGGGTTTTGTAATACAAAGGGGGTGGGGCTGTGGGGAGGGGGGGGGGAGGGGAGAACTCACAAAGTTGTTTTTCATTGAGCAACAACAATATTAGTTGCACTAAGAATGTAGAAAAAAAGGCATTACTATCTTTGCATGTGTCGTGAAAAGCATCCATGCATCTATTTTCGGATCCGCTTATCCTCTCAAGGGTCGCAGGGCAGTAGGTGGGGGACACCCTGAACCGGTTGCCAGCCAATCGCAGAGCACACACAGACAAACAACGATTCACACTCACAATCACACCTATAGACAATTCAGTGTTCCAATAACCTGCCATGCATGTTTTTGGAATGTGGGAGGAAAGCGGAGTATCTGGAGAAATCTCACACAGGCACAGGGAGAAAGAACATGAAAACTTCACACAGGAAGGCCGGAGTCGGAATCGAACCCTGCACTTCTGGCACTGTGAGGCGGACATGCTAAGCATGCCCCCCTGACAAACGTCCATCTCCCAAGTTTATAAGTTGACATGAAACTGATTTATGAGCAAGTAAAATCTGTCAGAACATCCACGGCTTGCAGCTCTGGAGCCGCTGGTTGCAGACCCCTGGGATAGAGCAATTACAGAGTGCAGTACACAAGATCTCTTAACTAACCTTGTTGCTGCTGTCACACTGATACTCAAAAGTGAGACGCCTCAGGACTACAAGCATACAATTTGTTTACGGTTGTGAAAGGCATTCAAGAAAAACCTTGAGTAATAAGCCGCATGTTTCTTCACTGATCACACGCAGAAGCCAGTACATTTCCTTTCCCGTTCCAAATTTGCACGTTACATGTATCTCATTGGACATTTATAACAGATAAGATTAAAAAGGTCATATAAAAGTGTACCGTAAGAGTCCAGGTGCTAAGTTGACAGCAAAGGTGTTCCTGGCAACCCGGTTGATGTATAAGCAGTAGGCCGCAATATCAGACACTCCTGCGTGCAAAGCAGCACGTGTGGGCAAAACAGTGTCAGGAACACCAAGTGAGGTGCGCTTGTTTTACTCACCACCCACAAAGTGAAAGACTGCGCCAGCGAAAAGCATCTTGTCTTTACTCTGCTCGTCTCCGCCGAGGTAGGTGCACTCCATGCCCAGGAAGCACAAGATGGCGGCGAAGAAGCCCAGAGTCAGCCCGCACATCAGCAAGCCTCGCACCCCCTGGACAAATGCTTTAAGGTACAGTTGGCAAAAAAGGTTGAACAAAAAAACTTACAAATTAAATCCTTCACATAGACCCAAAAAGAAAAAATGGCAGACATCACAGCAATGTGAAGGAATTTTAAAGCGATTACTGCTGTTTTTCCCTGTCTTTCCTTTTTATAAAATACAGAGCAGTGACTTCAGTTTTCATTTTAATGTATTGTTTTTTTTTGTACATTCATATATTTACAGTATTTCAGTTAGAAAAACTAAATATAAATGACTAACATTTATCGAAACAGTGTTAGCGAGTGCCACAAAACAAGCACATTTTTTGTTACTTTCTGTATATTTTCGTGTTGGCGTTCAATCAAAGGGACAACTGTTGTGTAAACACTTATTTGTTGTGAAATGCAGAGAAGCCAATTTTCACAACAGCAACATTTAAAACACTTAGTTGAAGTGCCTAGCTGAAAGTGTTATCAAAGTTTGTTGCCTTGAAATTTTGAGTTCACCCAAAATTTAGTTTACAGTGTAGCTATCATCCATCCAGCAATCAAAATATATACCCCAAGTGGTACAAAACCTTTCAATGTCTCCATAGTTTTCCATTTATTTACCAATCTAAAAATTGCCTGGTGAGTAGTACCAGGTCTACCCTTTCTCTCGTCCCAAGTCACCTGGGATCAGCTCCAGCTCATTAGCATAATAGTAACAATGACCACAGTCTTACGCGTGACACTCCAGAGAACAGGGAAATCTCTGCAGTTGGTGACGGCCGTGGAGTCGGTGAAGCAGTCCTTCCACAGATTGGACCAGTACCAGGCCACCTTGATGATGAACGAGCCGCCCTGGCCTCCGATTTGGGTGATCCTCCAGAAGTCCATGGCCATGGTGCACAGCACAAAGAGCCAGCCCAGTGTGGAAATCAGGAAGCCGCTTACTTGGATCAAACGTTTATGCATCTCCAAAGAGGAAAAGGTCCACACAGTTCAATTGAAGATCTTTCTTTGGATGGCGCGATTAGTGAAGTGTGTTGTGTCAGTCGGCGGAGCATACTGCGTGTTTGTCCGGTGTGTCATCAGTGTTGATGAGGGCATCTTAGCTGAGTGTTTACTGTAAACATACAGGAGTGTGCCATCACACTTCTACATTAATCCATTTTCTTTATTGTCATCTTTGGAATGACAGGTATAGAATGTGTGTGTGTGTGTGTGTGTGTGTGTGTGTGTGTGTGTATTCTCTCTCTCTCTCTCTCTCTCTCTCTCTCTCTCTCTCTCTCTCACAATACGCTCCATTTTCTTTCTTTTTTTTTTTTTAATACCAAAATTCCATCGTACAAAACAATAATGGTCACATATATTGCAGCCCGTTTAAAGCAAAATGTAAAGTCGAAAATAAATAGCAATTGCAATTCCCTCAAGATCAGAATTGATGTGTGAAAAAAACTACATTAAAAACATTAGTTACATCAAAGCAACTATCAGCTCCTGTACTGTGTACATGTGCCCCCTAGTGGCTATTAGTGGTAGAGCTCAGCATGAGACAGCGTTAATTCATGTTTTATGGTGTTGACTGTGTTTATGTTATTAATTTATTGTATTACCTCCATGTACACCAATTTGTATGCATCTATCATTGTCTTTAAAGTGTCCTATAAATGAAGTTGGGTTGAGTTGAGTGGTGTAGCATTAGTGTGATTGCTTCACTCATTCAAAATTTATATCGTTATAAAAGCTGTCCAAATGTATCTCCAAAGTTTTTTTTTACCTCCATTGAAAGCAGAGGATCCCACCCCTTTTTTTTTTTTTACTCAAATGAAAAGAGAAAAAAATTGCACGATGTGGGGGTATGTGTTTTTATCTGGAAAAACAAAGTTTGTTTTGAGGTAAAAGAAAAACAATCAAATGATTTTTAATTGAAAACCCAAGGTATCAAAGCGCTGTACTCTATATACTCTGTATTTTATATATATATATATATATATATATATATATATATATATATATGAATTGCAAAATTTTTTGTTTCTGATGAAAGACAAAATTAAAGTTTTTTTTCCAGATAAAAACAAAAAAAATAAGTACGTGGCTTTCATTCAGGAAGTATATTTTAGGCTAGCAAGACAAAGAACTTGCACACTTTTCTAAATACATTCAAAGAAAAACAAAGAACATTTTTTAATGGTTCAAGTAAAAAAAAAAAAAAAAAAAAAAAACAACCTGCAAAAATGTTTGTTGAGTGAAAATAAATTCTTTTCAAATACAAAAAAAAGTGTAAAGTGTAAAAAAATTTTAAAAAATTTGGCTGCACAGTATGTATATATTTTTTAACAGATCGACCAAGAAGTCATTTTTGTTTGGTTTGAAGTAAAACTTTTTCAGAGATGAAAAAGAAAAAAAAAAGCACTTTAAATAGAAGTAAAATTAAAATTAACAGTCTAGTCAGACTGTAAATAGCAATACAGGATTTATTTTGAAACTAAAATTTTTTTTGTGTTTTGGGTAAAAAAAAAAAAAAAGCAACATTTGAGGAGAAGTATAATATAATTAGAAAAACAAACAAGGTTTCTGTTTGTAAAAAAAAAAAACTATCTACAATAAGAATATATTTCATTATTTTCAAGGTGAGCCAATTTTGAGGATTTTTTTTAAAAGAAAAGTAATTTGCTCTGTTTGAAGAAGAAAGAAAAAACGAAAATTTTCAGTGGACCTCAACGCCATTTTCATTATGCCCAGGAATGACAACTTCACCTGGTGTTCAACAGAAGTGTTTCCACCAGTGAGCCATTATCTTTCCCTCCACACTATCTTACACGACTCACCACGCAGTGGCTCTTAATATTCACATCATTTAAACGTATACGTTCTTATCAAAATTGGGAGCCCTGGAGGAGCTGCTGTATTCAGGTGGAGGCCTCTGGCTCACAGACTGCCCTCGTCCTCTTTGGTAGGAGGGGACGTGCGAATGTGAGGCAGCGCCTTTGTAGACATAATTTGTTTGACTGTGGGTGGAAAAAACACACACACACACACAATGCTGATTAACCATCCAGAAGCCACCAACAGTATCCTTTAATAAGATCCAGTACTGGAAATAATAAATTTTTTGTCTCAGATGCCATTGAGATCGTGCATGTGTACCTAATGAAATGTCCTCATGTAAACTTGTGCATGGACGACTGACCTTTTCTTACAGTCTGCCACAGAGAAGCAGAACACACCTCCGCCAAGAATACAAAGGACAGAACCTGACCAGCCAATGAAGAGCGCTGCCCCCAGCTCATACCTAAAATGGAAGAAAGGGCAGATTTGTAAACCATGCAAACGTGACTCATGGGAAATCGTTTGAACACCTGAAAAATATTGCTTACTTCTGTGCCACAAACATTGGGTTGAAAAAGTCCGACGTTATGCGATGTGCATAGAGGGAACATGCTGATAGTGAGCACAGACCTGAGGAAAAACAACACATATTGGATCAAGTCTTAAGACCGGTTGTTGGTGGTGAGTGACACGTGACACTTGCGCATTTTGAATTTTCAATTAACCATATTGTCCATAACAGTTTAATGTACACTGTACATTGAAAAGAGAGTAACAATCAAACAGTTCATGAAGATTAAATTATATTGTACTCACAAGATAAATACCACTGGACTGTATTTAACAAATCTACTACGTTGTATTAAAAAAAAAAAAAAAATGTTTGGACCACCGTAACATTATGCACACTTTGCACAGTTAAGTTAGTGATTATCTCGTGTACCACTTGAGAGAGCCTGCTTAGCACACTTTGAGAATCACTGTATCTACTGGAATACAATGATTACATGTCGGCATACGAGCTGTTATTGCCCAAAATAATCATTGAAAAAAAATCTGAAATTTGGAGAGACATGAAAAACAGGATAAGTGTAAAAATCTTGAGCTATAGTGCGTGCTTTAATCTCTCAGAGATGCAGTACAAGCTGTTCTTTGGTAAACACAGTCAAAACATCTAGAAACACTTTTATCCCCCCAAAAGTTTTTTTCAAACAACAAAAACGAAAAAAACATGAATACAAATGCATGAGTTAATTTTGTGACACAGTACGGCTCCAAAACTGTATCGGTTGTTTGATTTCGGAGTTATAAAAAAGTTTGGAGATGCATGATTTATGAAAATTCATAGTTCAAAATGAAAAAACGTCATGCTGTTACAAAGATAAAGGGGCCGGGGGGGATAACGGCAAACTCTCTTACCGCTGAGGATAAAATTGACACCGGCGAAGCAGGCGATCCTCGCTTTGCTCTTGTCACTTCCTCCAATTTTGGTGCACTTCATTCCCACCAGGGCGAAGACGGTACCAAAAAAGCCCAGACACACGGCTGCGATCATCAGGCCCCTGCAGGCCTGGATGTAACCTGTGCGAGCACAAACAATCAGCCGGACATCAACAACCTATTGACCTTTTGATGCACGTGCACATAAAGCATGCAGTAGAATTAGTCACGAGATGAGATTTAGCGGCAAATATTAGCTCAGAACTCGTGAAGCGTGGTCGAAACAGCCTAAGGCTCACAGTCAATCTCCTTGATAGGCTTTAAGAATCAGTCAACTGCGGCTAAACATTGACACTATTCACAATAAATGGGTTGATCGCAACGCTCATGGAAATGATTTTGAATTTCAAGTTTGAAAAAGGAGAAAATGTGAAATAACACGACGCAAAACTTCGAGAAGGCAAAAGCGCGGCAAACCATCCAACGCCAGCATGGAGGGAAAGTCTTTGCAGTTGGACACCCCGGTGGAATCGGTGACGCATGTCTTCCACAGGTTGGACCAGTAGGTCGCCGTGGTAATGACCGTCCCGTCCAGCGAGGACACCTTCCAGTAGTCTGTCGGCAGGGTGGATGACACGAGAACCCATCCCGAAGTGGCGAGCGCAAAGGCCAGGATCTCCTGATACATGCTGCTCCGAATGACTCTGCGCCGACCACGTCGGTGGCACCAAGATTGATTAATGGTTCCCAAGAGGTTGAAAAAGTAGCCAGGATGCACAACGTTAAGTTGGTTAATATGTTATGGACCGTTGTATTATGCTACGAGGAGTTTGGACCTGAATATGAGCGCTGACGGCTTGTCATGTGGTTGCCAACATCTCACACATAAATAATTGATCACAGTTTTATTTTTGTGCGTTCATTTTTTTCATATCACAAATACCTGGCATTTAAACAGAGGTGTCACTTATAGGAAACTTGTGATCAGGACCTACTGTAACATTTATTTACAGTTATTGAGAACGAGACAGGGTAAGCCTTGGACTAGTTGCCAGTCAATCACGGTGTACCGTATTTTCCGCACTATAAGGCGGAAACTATAACTCAATGAATGTCCTATTTTAAAACTGCTTTCCTATGTTGGGCGCATCGCATTATGAGGCGCATAGAATAGAAGCTACAGGTCTGATTTGGGGTCCGATTTGGCCCCTATAAATTCTGCTAGCGGGACTCAAATGCTATCCTTAAATCCCAAAGGGTCAAATTTGGCCCTAATCCTAAATTAGGATTAAAGCATTGAATATTTAAAAAAAACATATATTTTATTGTTCAGTGAACATATAGCAGTCATTTAATGTATAATTCATCATTTTCCAAAGAAGAAAAGGGTTCTTGGGTTCTCCAGGGTTAATAAATGTGTTTTTTTTTAAGTCTTGAATTTGTAAAAAAAAATATACATATATACATCATATTTTTATCTTACTAATGAAGGGTTCGGTGACCGTGCATATGAACTGGTTGGGTTCGGTACGTCTAACAAGGTTAAGAACCACTGCACTAGATGGAGCTACCCTAAAGGGAATACAATACAATACAATGCAATACAGCTTTATATATAGAGAATTTTCTCAACTGCTGCAGCAGTAAGAAAGCGCTTTACAGGACATTTAAAATAGTACGCCCAATAAATCAGAATATTGATCCATATATAAGGCGCATCAGATTATAAGGCACTCTATCGGCGTTTGAGAAAATTGAATGCTTTTAGGTGCGCCTTATAGTGCGGGAAAATACGGTACAAAAAGATAAACATCAATTCACACCTAGCCGGGGTAGCCAAAGAAAAGCCACGCAAGCACAAGGAGACCATCCAGACTCGGATGGGTCTTAGCCAGGGTCGCCCCTGACTAAATTGCGGCCCAAAGGAAAAATTCATTCGGAGGCCCTACCCCACCTCATCTCTTCTGATCCAAAATGACTCATAGGTACGAAATAATCATAACACAGCATGCCATCTGACAACCCTTTTTCAACAGTAAACAGTAGCTGCAATAAAATAAAATTAAATAAATACAAACTGTCAGAAATAAATTCAGATGAAATAAAACAAAATACCTTCAAACTGAAACAAATAAATGAATAACTCGAAAGTGAACATGCCTTGTGTGGCTTTTACAGAGAAAAATAATTATCTGCAAGCGGTGGGACTGATGAAAGGAATATTAAAAGTAGCTAACTTGCAAAATTACATTCTAAGTAAAAGAAAGATAACAGGCAGGCAAAGTCAGAGCAAAATGACAGATTAGTGTATTTAAAAATTGGTTTCATATTCAGAATGACACACTCCACATGATGTGCCTCATCATAATATGATGAGATACAATCGGGCGGTATGAAATATTCTGCCTTTTCATCAAGAATGTTCACTTTTGATTGATGCCGTCAGAGGTATTCAACGAACAATATTTATTATTGTGCCCACACTTTGTAATAGTGCATAGCTCCATCATACCGAGAGGTATTTCTCTCACGTCGCGAAATAAAGGCTCAGATTATGTAGCAAATTTGGTGACCGCTGAGTGCATGGCAGTGATGAATATTTTTCTATTCCTTAGCAGTCACACCGCAGGGATATTTCCTAAAGTTGCGTCACGTGCAAAGGAAAACTGATGTTTCACCATGAAACGAGACAAATGTGCCGTGCCGTTTGGGATGGTGGCGCAGTGAGAACATCTATTCTTGTCGAAAGAGTTTGAAAGCAGGAGTCACTCACCGTCCAGGTTCAAGATAGTATGATGCGGCCTACAGTGGAGAGCTCCGATGGCGTTCCCGGCGCAGTTGTTCCACAGGCCCTGCAGCACCCATGTGGCCGTGATGACCGAGGACGCCCGGCTCGTGGCCTTCCATTCATTGGACACCGTGGCACCGATGGTGGCCCCCAGTCCCCCGAGGCCGCTGAGGAAAGCCAGGATCTGCAAGCCGGACATTTGCTGGCTTTCACAATTGAATGTGATCTTTTTTAGCGGACGAAATGCACGCAATCGCCCTGGACAGGTAAATTACACTTTGGACATGTGTTTTCACTGCGATGATTTACAGACAGAGCATCTCTCATGGTCAAACATGGACACAAGGGCCTCAAAGTCAAACAGTAATCAAAGTGTGAGCTGGGAGTTAGTTATTATTTTGGCCAATGCCCAAGCACCTCTTCTGAGTGCCCGCGTTTTGGTCTAAAAGTAATTACCGTGCTTCATATTAACACAAAGAATGATCAATCGCGTTTCGATGGAAGCAAAGTCCACTTTCAAGTTCGTCATTCATTTCGGGGTGAGAGGATGACTCATGACTTCCAGTTTAGGGGACTACAACACAATTTTGTGTGTGTGTGTGTGTGTGTGTGTGGGTGTGTGTGTGTTTGTGTGTTTGTGTGTGTGTGTGTGCCAGAGAGAGCGAGATAGTGAGAGAAATATAGAGAAAGAGAGATAGAGATCCACACGCAGTTTGACAGTATGGGTTCTGATAATGTCTGTGTCAGTTTTTACTAGTGACGTCAAAGCAACGCATCGTCCGCTACCCAAGTGAGGATAAGCGGTGAGAAAGGATGGATGATGGATATTTTCGAAATGTACCACCAGATGGCGTAAAACTCCACCTCGCGTTTCACTTGTGGAGTGCTTCTTGACGCGTAATCAAGTCCTCATTAAACAGACCTGACGCTAACCCCATTGTTTGCATTCGTAGATTGTGTTTTTCTTTTTTTTGATTGATGGACGCGTCCGAACCACAGCAGTGGTCTTAATGACGTCACATACACACGCCCCTTGCAGGCGCTCGCCTGCCAAGCCGGCCGGTTTCTACTGGAATCCAAGTGGCCTTCCTCAATATTGCCAGACGTAATGTTGACATAAACTCGACCTGTTGTTTCTGTAACTAGCCTGTCGGTAGAAAAAAAAACTTCCTGTGTTACTTGCCCCAGTGACATGGAAGCTTTGCGTCAAGACGTGAAGGATAATCCGTCTTCAAAGGCTAATCTTTTCTCCAAGCTTTTCTTCTGGTAAGAAAACAGCGACAGCAGTTATTGACACACACTGACTTGTGTTGACAGGTTGCTGCAGTCGGAGTAGTCATCCGATATTGATCGCAGCGCTCATGACAATGATCATCAATTTGAGGTTTGAAAAGGCAAATGTGAAATAACAGAATGCAAATGTCCGCAAAACTTCGATAGGGCGAACGCGCAGCTCACTGCATGTGGTTATCGTTTGATTCAAGCCATTTGTTGTCGAAGAGTGGATCTTTTATACTTTACATTCCAATGTGAGCATGACAAGAAATGAAGATTTTGTGATGTACATTGCTTCAATTATTGAATAGATCTGACATATTTTATCCATACTTAAAATTGTTTAAAGTTTATATATATATATATATATA